CTGTTGTATATCAGATATTTTGATTCTAATTCTGCTTCTATATATTATAATAAATATTATTGTATATTATGTTATAATACAAAATAATGTAACAATATATAACATATAAAATATACTTAGATATTAAAATACTAATATAGATAAATCAATAATTTATGATAAAGAAAAAGGGAATCACTTAAAAAACATTATTTTTTTAGCCTTAGTTACCCCTCGGGTACCCATGAGTTCTCTAAAAAAATTTAAGTTAAAACATTTAATACCAAAAACTAGTAGTCTCGGGATTTCCAAAATGTGGTCTACCTTATTTCCCCTTCAAAATTGACAGAGATATTAGGAAATTGGTTCAGATTCCAGTTAATTAAAAATTAACAAAACTGTTCAACGTCAATTTTTAAAATACGAAGAGGGTAGACCACATTTTAGAAAGCTCATTATACGTTCAATTTTTTTAATGTACTTTAAGTCATTTATCAATTAATGTAAATCAAAGAACATATTTAAGTCGTCATTCAATTCCCACGTTTATTGGGACACCCCGAATGAGCGAAAAGCTTTATATCATATAAATAATAATAATGATTATGTCCTGATATGCCTAACTCCGTTTTCTACTTTATCAGCTTCAATATGCTGCTGCAATCTATCACAAACTCTATCCTCTCTACCTCTATAGGTTTATACGATCCATAAATAACAAGAGTCTGTGTTGAACTGTCAATATTTAGATACAGGGTGTCCCAATAAACATGGGAATTCAGTGACGAATTCGATATCGTCTTTATAAATAATTCTTTGATTTAGTATAGTGATACCTACTGAGNCTGTAGCAATCCTTTAGAGCCAACATACCAGTAATCTTCAGGCTCGTACTTCCTCAGGGTAGTGTTCTTAATCCCAGTATTCTTGTGTTTAGTAGAGGAAGTAGAGCTCCCTAATCCTTCAACAGATTGAGGCTCCTGTAGCAATCCTTTAGAGCCAACATACCAGTAATCTTCAGGATCGTACTTCCTCAAAGTAATGGTTTCAATCCCAGTATTCTTGTGTTTGGTAATCTTCCTAATCCCCCCCTTACCAAGAATAGGACTGGGTTAACTTATCTTGTCCTTCACTTCCGGTCATTAATTTTGCTTCTTTTTCGGAACAGAAAATTGACACTTCCTGTTGTCGTAAAAATTCTATACCAAAGTTTACTGCATGATTTAACCCCTCTATCACTATGAGTTCCACTTCAAAACATTATCCAATCTGTCAAGATAAAATTTCATCTTTTCACCTTTACCTAACACTCTGAGTCCCTTTCCTCCTTTCTCTGCTGTGCACACTCTATTATCACTCTTTTCAAACATTTTTCCCCCAACCATTTTCCAAAATTCACGTGACACTAAAGTTTCCTTCACGTGTCAACCAATGCTAATCCAAAAATATCTCTTTAAAAAGTTTATATTTAACATGAGGTTTTACGATCGTCTTCCTCATATTATCGTCTTCCTCATATTATCGTCTTCCTCATATTATCGTCTTCCTCATATTATCGTCTTCTTCATATTATCGTCTTCCTCATATTATCGTCTTCTTCATATTATCGTCTTCTTCATATTATTCAAGTTGATAATCAAATCGTCCTCCCAGCTCTTTACTTCTTTCCCTAACTTGCCCTTAGGCTTTATACTTCCCACCACTTCCGCATCAAATTTACAGACATTGAAATGATTTGAAACGTTTAATTGAATTATAATTAGAATTATTCAAATTAGGCAATTCTTCATTTACAGGGTTTCAGCTGTCCGGTCATGGAACCCTTTATGGAAAAACCCCATCTGCAGAGCTAACTTCTTGATCATCTTTTTCATCTCCGCCATAGACTAAGCCATCACTGCCATCTGTCCCCCTCCTGTATAGCTTCATTCTCTTTTCTCCCATTATTTCGCCTTTCTTCCCTGCATTCACGTAAGAAATGAACTTCTTTTTCACGATTTTAGTAGGAAATTGNCTCCCATTATTTCGCCTTTCTTCCCTGCATTCACGCAAGAAATGAACTTCAATTTTCCAAAATTTTAGTAGGAAATTGGCTTCCTGTTGTAACTTCCAGTCGACTTTCTATATTTTTTTTTTTTCCATTCTTCGTACTTCCGACATTCTCTCTTCTAATGTTCGGTCTACTTGCAAACATTTAGTCTCCGACAAACCGATGGTGAGCATAATAAAGTTCAGAATTATTTACCCGCCAACTTCGCCATCGGCACATATATAGTCGGTAAAAATCTTTCCTGGTAAACCATAGTTCAAACAGAGATCCAGCTTTTTTTTAGTTGAAAAGTGTGTCGGGTTATTCTGTACAAGAAGACGACTTTTAATCAGGGTTATTGTATACACAGCAGAACAGTTAACTGTAGAGTACACTTGTATTTTAGAGAATCAGAATCTAGATTTCTGAAACAACCAAGTGGCGTGCCTTATTGTGAATTTTACCGAATTTATATGAATAAAAATCATNCCAGGATTTTCTTTAAAATTTACTGAATTTTCAATTTTTTGTCTTATTTTTTTAGCTTATTTTTTATCTAAATCTTGATGAACCATTCAGAAATCAGGAAATTTTTATAATCTCTCCTTTTTTAATAGTTCAGATTTGGGTTTTGAGAGTAACAATTTTTTTTTGCAGTGTTTTGTTGATATTTTACCCGTGGATCTGCATATTTTTACGGATCCGGATCCAGGAAGCCAAAATCTTGCGGATCCAACGGATCCGGATCCTAAAGCACTGATTCTAACAAACCGTTAACTAAAGTTTTTTTTGATTGAAACTCCTCTTATTGAAAAGCTAATGAGAAGAACAAAAATGTTTTCAACTCATATTATGTAATTAGCTTTTCTTACACTTGTCTATATACAATCAGAACTAGAGAAGCAACAGAGTCTCAAAGGCGTAGTATTAATGTCAATTGAATTTGACCTTTTCCTCCTGAGGCCGAATTTAAAGAATTTGAGCCGCGGTTTAAATTTAAGCCGTGGCTTAAATTTTGTTGGTTTCACTTAATTTGTATTAAATTTTTCAAGATATAAGCCGGCGCTTAATTGAAACCGGTTTTTGGGGCTTTTAGACACGGCTTAAATTAAAAAATTCGGACACTGGTTAGTTTACAGTGATGAGCGAACTCAAATAAAATCAAAGTTTAAATTGATATATTACAGCGCCTCAAAAAAATCTTCAAATGCCACTGTTAAGAGTTTTTGCCATATATTTATGAAGATCTTGAAAAATTCTACGGAAAATCCCTTTCAGCTAATATGTTGCGGAAGACCATGTAGTGGAAGGAGTCTGAAGTTTTAGCTGTCAAGTGAGTCAAAATACAACCACAGTGACCAGCTAGCGGTCAAATATAAATTATACGGTTGCTTTCCAAGGAGAGGAAGAGGATGGAGGTGGTGGGGGGGTCCTTCCTATCCTCTGAGACCGGTTAGGGGAAGGGGTGTAATGGGTTAAACTATGTCGTTTAATTATTAAGTTTTAAAAATCTAAACATTTAAGCTCCTAATAATTCCCTAAAATGCTTCCTAAAACTATAATCTAGACCTAGAAGTCCCTAAAACTCATGTTTAGGTCCTACCGGAGAACTTTAACCTGGAAGTCCCTAAAACTATCATGTTTAGGTCCTACCGAAGAACTATAACCTAGAAGTCCCTAAAACTATCATGGTTAGGTCCTACCGAACAACTATAACCTATAAGTCCCTAAAACTATCATTTTTAGGTCCTACCGAAGAACTATAACCTAGAAGTCCCTAAAACTATCATGTTTAGGTCCTATTGGAAAAAGTCTCTAAAACTTATCATGTTTAGGTTGTACCGGAAAAACTATAACCTGGAAGTCCCTAAAAATATCATGTTTAGATCCTACTGGAGAACTATAACCTAGAGGTCCCTAAAGCTATCATGTTTAGGTTATACCAGAGAACTATAACCTAAAAGTCCCTAAAACTATCATGTTTAGGTCCAACGGAGAACTAAAACCTAGAAGTCCCTAAAACTATCATGTTTAGGTCCTACCGGAGAACTATAACCTAGGAGTCCCTAAAGCTATCATGTTTAGGTCCTACCGGAGAACTATAACCTAGAAGTCCCTAAAACTATCTGGAGAATAAGAAAGGACGGATTCAAAAAAGTTGCTCTACAGCTTCCTGAAGGATCGAATAGATTAAATTTTATAGTTTTTCATCTTAAGTTACTTCCGTTCTTCTTCCTTAAAGGGACTGTCAGGGTAATTTCAAGTGAACTCTCTTCAAATATGGCAATACCTGATTCACAACAGTACCTTTAAAATCTTTATCTGATCAATATTGTCGTTTATTGTAGGAAAATAACAATTGAAAATGATCAGTATTCAAAATTATAAAAATTGATCTAGTTGTAAATCCGGCATTGTCGTCTTTGTGTGGAGGGTCACTTGAAATAACGCTTACAGTCCCTTTAAGTAGTCCTTTCCTAATTTTCCCTATCTCCCCCTATCCCTTTGTTATTTTTACCTCCCATCTATCTTATCACCTTTTTTTTCTTATATTTTATTAATCTGTTTCTTACCAGGTTTAACAATGTTTGCAACTGCTCTTTGTGATATCATAGAAAGGTAATAGTGAAGTTGTTAGAAATTAATTGTTTATATGTTTGGCAACTTTCAGGGTTACCCACAATAGATGAGATTGTAAAGACGACCTGAAATTCACGATATGACTGTCTCTAGGTTAAATTAAGTCTGTTTTTCTTACATTTAATTTTTTTAATGGCTTATATAATGATTTGGCAAATAAAGAAAAAAGTTTACAATTGTAGGGAATTCTGAATCCGAATTTAATGAATTTGAGCCGCGTCTTAAATCCGCCAAAAACCGGTTTCAATTGAGCCGCGGCTTAAATTTTGAAACATTGAATACAATTTTAAGTGAAACCAACCATATTTGAATTCGGCCTCAAAAAGCTTAAATTCCGTACAGTCGTTTCAGATGTCTCATTCTTTTGGGACGTGGGTAGCCTGGTATATAGTCAAATGATTTAAACTTCTAAAATAAAATACAAATGAACACTTTACTTTGAAGTCAGGACCCGCCTAACCAATGATGGTTATTTTTATTGATCTAGTTTTACCTATGCTGAAACCCTGATCATTTAGCCAGGACCCGACTAACCAAATATGGTTTTGTGTTATTATTAATTTAGTTTTACCGACGCTGAAACCCTGATCATGTCTGATGTAACCTACGGAGCATGCTGTGTTGATGATTTCTCTGCCAGGAACATTATTTACATTAATTACACAAATTAAAGGGATTGTACGCGTAATTTAATGACCCTCAGCTTCATTCACAATGGTACCCTGAAAAGATTTCTTTTATCATGTATGAATTAGATACAATAACAAATGTTGATTATTTTGAAAACTGATGGCCTGGTTCTCTTCAAAAGTGACTTGCGCATTTCTACTGCAGGAACTCATATAGGAACGATTAGAATTCAATAAAAAAACGACAATATCTTCCACATTGTTTATCAGATAAAGGTCTCAAGAGTACATTGTTTATCAGATAAAGGTCTCAAGAGTACATTTTTTATCAGATAAAGGTCTCAAGAGTACATTTTTTATCAGATAAAGGTCTCAAGAGTACATTTTTTATCAGATAAAGGTCTCAAGAGTACATTTTAAGGGTCACCTGAAATTTCGCTTACGGTCCCTTTAAAAGGAGATGCCAAGGTTTTAAATCCCTTTAAAAGGAGATGCCAAGGTTTTAAAACAAGAACCCCGAGAGCAAACATCCGATATTCTATATACAGTGATAACCAGAAAAGCTCTGAAATGTGAAGACGACTTACAGACTGAAGATGTGACTCTAAATGGTCCAATAAGCATGGTACACAGCAATTGTATAGTTTAAACAGACCCATTTCACTTATTTAGTGATTAGTCAAACTATTTGCTTTGTAACAATATCAAATACACTTAAGTATTTCTATAAAGTCATCTTCCTATTTCAGAGTTTTTTGGTTATCACTGTATAATAAAATAAGACATTTGTGTATATGTTCCCTATAGCTAGCCAAACGGCTGGACCAAATGGGCTGACACAAGTTGAAGGAACCTAGGGGTATCGCAGGGGTAACATAGGAAAAAATATCAAAACTTTTTTCTCAATTTTTTTTTTATTCCACGGNATAAGAACGCAATTGAACAAATCACGAACATAACAGAGATTACAACTTTACATATATATATAACAGAGATTACAACTTTACATATATAGATAACAGAGATTACAACTTTACATATATATATAACAGAGATTACAACTTTACATATATTGATAATAGAGTTAGCAAAATAATGCTTGGCATTTTTAAAAAGAAATGATTTTTAAGGAAAATTAATTTTAAGTAATCTTCTATAAACATTAATATTTGCGCTTTTAAATTTCGACTGGAAGATTTCTACACCTTAGCGTGAACTAGAGAAAATAAGAATAGATAATCCAGAGATGGAATTTAAAGAATTTGAGCCGCGGTTTAAATCCGTCAAAACCCGGTTTAAATTAAGCGCCGGCTTAAATCTTGAAACATTTGATACAATTTTAGGTAGAACCAACCATATTTAAACCGCGGCTTAAATTTAAACCTCCGCTCAAATTCTTTAAATTCGGCCACTGGTTTACTAAAATTATAGTTTTAAACTTGATAAAAGAGACTGTTAGATTAATTTTGATTGACCCCTGAATGTAAAGAGGGCATTGCCCGATTTACAACGGTACCTTAAAACATTTGTGTTTTCTTGGAGTACGAGATATATATGTGTGTAAACTTATTGAAACTGTATTCAGCTGCAAATTCAAGTGTGCGCTGTGTTGAGTTATGTACACTTTTCAGTTAAGTAAAAGCGAGGTTCGAAAAGCTTGAAAACACACATCTCTGTATTTGCGAGCACACAAAGGTTTTAAGGGTACCGTTGTAAATCGGGTATTGCCCACTATGCATGGAAGGTCACTTGAAATTACGCTTACAGTACCTTTAAATGATTTAAAGTTCAGAATTATTCTAAACTAAAAAATGTTTTAGTTCCTGTTGATCAGACTTCAACCATCAAGATGCTTTATATATTTGTGGATATAAAGGTGAACAAAAAAACAAAATTATTTTTTTAATTTTAAAATTTTCAATTATTTTAGATGGATACTCTTCACTTTACACAGACAGTTAAACAAAATATTGACAAGGAGAAAAGTATAAGGTTAACTTTACACAATTTTTTTAGAAATTAAATCAATCAATCAATCAAATATATAAAAATATTCCTGTTTAGTAGAACAATAGGAATATTTGACGAAAAAAATTAACTTGTTGAAAAGGACTGTAAGCGTAATTTCTAGTGACCCTCTATGCAAAGATGGCAATGCCCGATTTACAAAGCTTTATCTGATAAATAATGTGGAAGATATTGTCGTTTTCTAGTTGGAAAAGTGTTAAAATCTGACGATTTAAATATTTTTTTCTGTAGTAGATATGTGCAAGTCACGTTTATAGAGAACCCTCAAATGGAAATTATAATTTTTAAAATTTATGAACATAAATATTTACATTAAAGACTACCGTCGTGGGATCGGGCATTGCCATCTTTGCATTGAGAGTCACTAGAAATTACGCTTACAGTCCCTTTAAACAAGTTAATTTTTTCGTCAAATATTCCTATTGTTCTACTAAAACAGGAATATTTTTAAATGTTTGATTGATTGATAAACGTTTATTTGTATTTACCTAAAGGTGGGAATCTTAAATGTATTTATATACAAGTTATTTTGATGGACATAGTCTAAAGATTCTAGAACGTCCCAAATCATATCATAAATCTGTAAAATATGTAAGTGATACTCCAAAGAATTCTGTATTATAAACGAATACATTTCTTAAGATGGTTCAACCTTTTTACATTTTCTGTTACATTTTGAACTCACGGTCGAATATGATGTGATCTACTTCTTCAGTCTTCGGTTTTTATTGGAGCTTATTTTTAAGTTTTAAAAATATTTTTTTTTTAGCTTAGTGAGCACTATTCAGTTTGTTGCCACTCTCCAGGCTGTAGCAAAACAACTCAGGTTATTAATCATTTCATTCATTCAATCATTCATTCATTCATTCATTCATCCTTTCATTCATTCATTCATCCTTTCATTCATTCATTTATTCATTCATCCTTTCATTCACCCATTCATTCATTGTGCATTCATTCTTTCATTCATTCATTCGTAGAAAACAATATTAGACTTTGCACGTGACCTGGGCTAACACGTGACCGAAAGGCGAAAACCAATCTATAAAAAAATTCCTGTAATACCATACACCGTGAAGAACAATATTAGATTACCAACTACAGATAGTTGCATGAAATCAGACTGCATAAGGGGGGAACCCTTGTGAAAACATTATTGTAAAAAGTTTGATTTTTTTTGTGTGGAGTTTTTGTGAAAAAGCTTGCTTAATCGATTGTGGAAAAGGTTAGATTGACTGATTTACTGACTTCCATACAGGTATGATTTATAGATTGTGGAAAACGATGTGGTTTAGTGAATGTAAAAAAGTGTCAGATTTTTGTAAAAAAGTGTCAGATTTTTGTAAAAAAGTTTGATTTATCGGTTGTTGAAAAATATTATGGCAAAAATGTGATTTATTGATTGTGGAAAAGCGTGATTACTGATAAGTTTAGATTTTTTGTTTTTTGGTTTGTGTGACTGATTGAGTGAGTGGATGATTTATTGATTGATTGATTGGTTGGTTGATTGATCGATTGATTTCTCGAATATACAGGGATGATGGATATACCGTATTTGTTCCTCAAGTGAAACCTCTATCCCCCGGGGAAATATTAGGTAAAATCAAGGATTCTTATGACAATGTCCTATTCACAACGGTACCCTTAACGCTCTTTTCACAATTAAAGGATTCAGTCGCTTTTACGTTTATTGGAAACATACAAAAAAGAGAAACCAATTAAAAATAAAACGATTGAATTTTTGCTTTACAATTAAAGATTTCTATTTTGATTTGTTTTTAAAGGTCTAGTTAGAACAGGGGCGGGACAGTGCATCCTTCTGCCTGGGCGGTCTGGGGGATCTGGGGGGTCCACATTGGGGCCTCTTGCAGATTTCACTTCCTTTTGAATCCTTACACCAGGAATACTGAATGTAAAATCAAATTATAAGTTTTATGAACAGAAATAATTTTTTTTTCAACAAAATCAAACATGGGAAAAATAAGAACGCAATTGAACAAATCACGAACCTAATGAGAATGTTAAAGGGACTGTAAGCGTAATATCAAGTGACCCTATAAGCAAAGACGACAATGCTTGGGATACTTGAAAGGTTTGTTTGATTAAGTATGAATTAGATACCAATTTTCCCCCATTATTGATAAAATTGTTTCAAGGGTACCGTTGTGAATTGGGCATTGCCATCTTCGCATGGAGGGTCACTTAAAATTACGCTTACAGTCCTTATAAATTGGAGATTTGATCAAAAGCATTCTTATTTCTGCCAATGTTTCACCTTATTAAAAATCCATTGTTTCTGTTCATAAAACTTGCATAATTTGATTGCGCATTTATTATTTCTGGAAACGGGTTGATCAAATCAAAAATCTTTGTTTGCGAAAATTAAAAGATTTAACAAACAAAGTAAAATTTTTTTTACTGAATGCCATCCTGGATTCACAGTTGTACCTTTTCACCAATAGAAATTGTTTAAATTCTTATTATTGCATCTGAAAATTTCTTCATGAAAAGCGAAAATTGCAGAGAATCGTCTACTTTCAGACAGATCTTTTATTCAGATGTACGAGATTTTATTGGGTCGGTTGTGAATCCGTTATGGTATTATTTTCTCACTTTAAGTTGCGTGAAAGGTTCCTTTAATAAATTATAAATGTTAAGGTTGTACTTCACCTAAGATGGAAACCTCGTGTCTTATTTATCTTGGAGATGGTCGCTTTCATTTAGGAGAGCAGTTGTATTATTTGTAAACAATTAATTTATTTATTTATTGCATCATTGCTTGAAAGCTCGATTGCTTCATTGCTGAACATGGTTTTATTGCTTGATTGCTTGATTGCTTGATTGCTTGATTGCTTTATTGCTTCATTGCTGAACATTGTTTTATTGCTTGATTGCTTGATTGCTTGATTGCTTGATTGCTTAATTGCTTGATTGCTTGATTGCTTGATTGCTTGATTGCTTCATTCTTTATGGCATCATTGGATCATTAGTTCATGCTTTAGTACATTGTTGCATTGCATCATAGCTTTATTATTTCATTGCTTCAATGCTTCATTCCTTCATTGCTTGCTAATAAAAGTTGTAGATTCTAACCAGTGCTTAGGATCCATTCAATTTTGATGCGGATCCGGATTCGGATCCTGGATCCGCACTGGAATAAATATCCGGATCCAGGATTTTCTTTAAAATTTACTGAATTTTCAATTTTTTTGTCTTATTTTTTTGCTTGTTTTTAATCTAAATCTTGATGAACCATTTAGAAATCAGGAAATTTTTATAATCTCTCCTTTTTTAATAGTTCAGATTTGGGTTTTGAGAGTAACAAATTTTTTTGCAGTGTTTTGTTGATATTTTACCCGTGGATCTGCATAATTTTGCGGATCCGGATCCAAGAAGGCAAAATCCAATGGATTCGGATCCTAAGCACTGATTTTAACGAACCGTTAACTAAAGGTTTTTTTATTGTAACTCCTCTTATTGAAGAGCTATTGAGAAGAACAAAAATGTTTTGAACTCATATTATGTAATTAGCTTTTCTTACACTTGTGCTTATACAATCAGAACTAGAGAAGCAACAGAGTCACAAAGGCGTAGCATTAATGTCATTTGAATTTGATCTTTTCCTCCTGAGGCCGAATTTAAAGAATTTGAGCCGCGTTTGAAATTTTGTTGGTTCCACTTAAATTTGTATTAAATTTTTCAAGATTTAAGCCGGCGCTTAATTGAAACCGGTTTTTGGGGGATTTGAGACGCGGCTTTAATTCATTAAATTCGGACACTGGTTAGTTTGCAGTGATGAGCGAACTCAAATAAAATGTTAATCAAAGTTTAAATTGATTTATTTAAGAAATCTTCAAATGCCACTGTTTAGAGTTTTTGCCATATATTTTATGAAGATCTTAAAAAATTCTACGGAAAATCCCTTTAAGCTAATATGTTGCGGAAGGCGCGCCATGTAGTGGAAGGAGTCAAATATAAATTCTACGGTTGCTTTCCAAGGAGAGGAAGAGGATGGAGGGGGGGGGGGGTCCTTCCTATCCTCTGAGACCGGTTAGGGGAAGGGGTGTAATGGGTTAAACTATGTCGTTTAATTATTAAGTTTTAAAAATCTAAACATTTAAGCTCCTAATAATTCCCTGAAAGGCTTGCTAAAACTATAATCTAGAGTCCCTAAAACTCATATTTAGGTCCTACCGGAGAACTTTAACCTAGAAGTCCCTAAACTATCATGTTTAGGTCCTACCGGAGAACTATAATCTAGAAGTCCCTAAAACTTATCATGTTTAGGTCCTACTTGAGGACTATAACCTAGAAGTCCCTAAAACTATGATATTTAGGTCCTACCGGAGAACTATAACCTAGAAGTTCCTAAAACTATCTGGAGAATAAGAAAGGACGGATTCAAAAAAGTTGCTCTACAGCTTCCTGAAGGATCGAATAGATTAAATTTTTATTTTTTCATCTTAAGTTACTTCCATTCTTCTTCCTTAAAGGGACTGTCAGGGTAATTTCAAGTGACCTCTTTTCGAAGATGGCAATACCTGATTCACAACAGCACCCTTAAAATCTTTATCTGTTCAATATTGTCGTTTTTTGTAGGAAAATAAGAATTGAAAATGATCAGTATTCAAAATTATGAAAATTGTTTTCTAATTCAAACTTGATCAGTCCAAGATATAAGGAAACAGTTGTAAATCCGGCATTGTCATCTTTGTGTGGAGGGTCACTTGAAATTACGCTTACAGTCCCTTTAAGTAGTCCTTTCCTAATTTTCCCTATCTCCCCCTATCCCTTTGTTATTTTTCCCTCCCTTTTTCTATCTTTAATTATCACCTTTTTTTTGAAACTTTTAATTTTTCTCTTATATTTTATTAATCTGTTTCTTGCCAGGTTTAACAATGTTTGCAACTGCTCTTTGTGATATCATAGAAAGGTAATGGTGAAGTTGTTAGAATGAGTACATTTCAAGGGTCACCTAAAATTTCGCTTACAGTCCCTTTAAAGGGAGATGCCAAGGGTTTTAAAACGAGAACCCCGAGAGCAAAAATCCAATATTCTGTATATAGTGATAATCAGAAAAGCTCTGAAATGTAAAGACGACTTACAGACTGAAGATATGATTTTAAATGGTCCAATAAGCATGGTATGCAGCAATTGTACAGTTTAAACAGACCCATTTTACTTATTTAGTGATTTAATAAGTGTCTAGTAAAACTATTTGCTTTGTAACACCATCAAATTTAAGTATTGCTATAAAGTCGTCTTCCTATTTCAGAGTTTTCTGGCTATCACTGTATAATAAAATAAGACATTCGTGTATATGTTCCCTATAGCCGGCCAAACGGCTGGACCGAATGGGCTGACACTTGTTGAGGGAACCCAGGGGTATCGCAAGGGTAACAAAGGCAAAAAATATCAAAACTTTTTTTTCTCATTTTTCTTTTTTTCTTAAATTTGTATTTATTCCACGGGCAATATATTAAAAACAATACAAGCTATTGGTGCATATTTTATTAAACATTTCCACCATATATTTTTTATTAAAAAGTATGGAAATTAATATAAATAATATTTTAATAGATCCCTTGGCTGCGATTTTCTAATTCACTATGGACACAGTTGTTTAGGTAAGTAATCTTCTTCTTCCTAGTAAAATAATAACCCCTGCCTAATATATTATAAACTAGATAAGAACATTCCCTTGGGTCTACAATCAAAATCTGAGGGAAATCGGTCCAGGGGTTCTTGAGATATGATCGGACAAACAAACAGACATACAGTCACCGAAACAGAGATTACAACTTTACATATATATATAACAGAGATTACAACTTTACATATATATATAACAGAGATTACAACTNATCATAGTTATGTAGGATGTACAGAGGAGAGTTAGCAAAATAATGCTTGGCATTTTTAAAAAGAAATGATTTTTAAGGAAAATTAATTTTAAGTAATCTTCTATAAACATTAATATTTGCTCTTTTAAATTTCGACTGGAAGATTTCTACACCTTAGCGTGAACTAGAGAAAATAAGAATAGATACTCCGGAGATGTAATTTAAAGAATTTGAGCCGCGGTTTAAATCCGCCAAAACCCGGTTTAAATTAAGCGCCGGCTTAAATCTTGAAACATTTGATACAATTTTAAGTGGAACCAACCATATTTAAACCGCGTCTTAAATTTTAACCGCCGCTCAAATTCTTAAAATTCGGCCACTGGTTTACTAAAATTATAGTTTTAAACTTGATAAAAGAGACTGTTAGCTTAATTTTAAGTGACCCCTTAATGTAAAGAGGGCATTGCCCGATTTACAACGGTACCTTAAAACATTTGTGTTTTCTTGGAGTTAGAGATATATATGTGTGTAAACTTATTGAAACCCGCCTGTATTCAGCTGCAAATTCAAGTGTGCGCTGTGTTGAGTTATGTAAACTTTTCAGTTAAGTACAAGCAAGGTTCGAAAAGCTTGAAAACACACATATCTTTATTTGCGAGCACACAAAGATTTTTAAAAGTACCGGTGTAAATCTGGCATTGCCCTCTTTGCATGGAAGGTCACTTAAAATAACGCTTACAGTCCCCTTAAATGATTTAAAGTTGAGAATTATTCTAAACTAAAAAATGTTTTAGTTCCTGTTGATCAGACTTCAACCATCAAGATGCTTTATATATTTGTGGATATTAAGGTGAACAAAAGCATAAAATTATTTTTTTAATTTTAAAATTTTCAATTATTTTAGATGGATACTCTTCACTTTACACAGACAGTTAAACAAAATATTGACAAGGAGAAAAGTATAAGGTTAACTTTACACAATTTTTTTAGAAATTAAATCAATCAATCAATCAAATATATAAAAATATTCCTGTTTAGTAGAACAATAGGAATATTTGACGAAAAAAATTAACTTGTTGAAAAGGACTGTAAGCGTAATTTCTAGTGACCCTCTATGCAAAGATGGCAATGCCCGATTTACAAAGCTTTATCTGATAAATAATGTGGAAGATATTGTCGTTTTCTAGTTGGAAAAGTGTTAAAATCTGACGATTTAAATATTTTTTTCTGTAGTAGATATGTGCAAGTCACGTTTATAGAGAACCCTCAAATGGAAATTATAATTTTTAAAATTTATGAACATAAATATTTACATTAAAGACTACCGTCGTGGGATCGGGCATTGCCATCTTTGCATTGAGAGTCACTAGAAATTACGCTTACAGTCCCTTTAAACAAGTTAATTTTTTCGTCAAATATTCCTATTGTTCTACTAAAACAGGAATATTTTTAAATGTTTGATTGATTGATAAACGTTTATTTGTATTTACCTAAAGGGGGGAATCTCAAATGTATTTATACAAGTTATTTTGATGGACAATAGAAATAGTCAAAAGATTCTAGAACGTCCCAAATCATATCATAAATCTGTAAAATATGTAAGTGATACTCCAAAGAATTCTGTGTTTTAAACGAATACATTTCTTAAAATGATCCAACCTTTTTACATTTTCCTTTACGTCCCAACATTTTGTACTCACGGTCGAATATGATGTGATGTGTTTTAAATGTACTTCTTCAGTCTTCGGTTTTATTGGAGCTTATTTTGAAGTTTTAAAAATATTTTTTTTTTAGCTTAGTGAGCACTATTCAGTTTGTTGCCACTCTCCAGGCTGTAGCAAAACAACTCAGGTTATTATTCATTTTATTCATTCGTTCATTCATTCATTCATCCTTCCTTTCATCCTTTCATTCAACCTTTCATTCATCCTTTCATTCATTAATTCATTAATTTATTCATTCATTCATTTTTCATTATACATTCATTCTTTCATTCATTCATTCGTAGAAAACAATATTAGACTTTGCACGTGACCTGGACTAACACGTACCGAAAACCAATCTATAAAATAATTCCGATATTACCAAATACCGTAAAGAACAATATTAGACTGCCAACTACAGATAGTTGCATGAAATCAGACTGCAACAAGGGGGGGGGAACCCTTGTGAAAACATTTTTGTAAAAAGTTTGTTTATTTTTGTGTGGAGTTTTTGTGAAAAAGCTTGCTTAATCGATTGTGGAAAAGGTTAGATTGATTGATTTGCTGACTTCCATATAGGCATGATTTATAGATTGCGGAAAACGATGTGGTTTAGTGAATGTAAAAAAAAGTGTTAGATTTTGGTAAAAAAGTTTAATTTATCGGTTGTTGAAAAATATCATGGCAAAAAATGTGATTTATCGATTGTGGAAAAGTGTGTTTACTGATTAGTTTAGATTTTTTATTTTTTGGTTTGTGTGTATCTGATTGAGTGAGTGGTTGATTGATTGATTGATTGATTGATCTATTAATTTCTCTAATAAACAGGGATGATGGATATACCGTATTTGTTCCCCAAGTGAAACCTCTATCCCCCGGGGAAATATTAGGTAAAATCAAGGATTCTTATGACAATGTCCTATTCACAACGGTACCCTTGACTTGATACCTTTATCTTTTAGTCTTTTAATGCTCTTTTCACAATTAAAGGATTCAGTCGCTTTTACGTTTATTGGAAACAAACAAACAAGAGAAGCCAATTTAAAATAAAAAGATTGAATTTTTGCTTTACAATTAAAGATTTGTCTATCCCAGGAATAATGAATGTAAAATAAAATTTTAAATGTTTTATGAACAGAAATAATGTTTTTTTTTCTCAACAAAATCAAACATTGACAATATAAGAACGCAATTGAACACGAACCCAATGAGAATGTTAAAGGGACTGTACGCGTAATTTCAAGTGACCCTAGAAGCAAAGACGACAATGCTCGGGATACTTGAAAGCCTTATATCATTAAGTATGAATTAGAGTCCAATGTTCCCCGTTATCGATAGAATAATGTTTCAAGGGTACCGTTGTGAATTGGGCATTGCCATCTTCGCATGGAGGGTCACTTAAATTTTTTTAGTGAGGAAGGGTATGATCATAAATATGTTTAGTGAGGATTATGAATATGTTTAGTTAGGAAGGGCATGATCATCCATATATTTAGTGAGGAAGAATATGATCATGAATATGTTTAGTGAGGAAGAGTATGATCATGAATATATTTAGTGAGGAAGGATATGATCATGAATATGTTTAGTGAGGACGGGTATGATCATGAATATATTTAGTGAGAAAGGGTATGATCATGAATATGTTTAGTGAGGATTATGAATATGTTTAGTGAGGAAGGGCAAGATCATCAATATATTTAGTGAGGAAGGATATGATCATGAATATGTTTACTGAGGAAGGGCATGATCATCAATAAATTTAGTGAGGAAGGATATGATCATGAATATGTTTAGTTAGGAAGGGTATGATCATTAATATATTTAGTGATGAAGGGTATGATTATGAATATGTATAGTGAGGAAGGGTATGATCATTAATATATTAAGTGAGGAAGGGTATGATCATGAATATGTTCAGTGAGGAAGGGTATGATCATTAATATATTTAGTGAGGAAGGGTATGATCATGAATATGTTTAGTGAGGATTATGAATATGTTTAGTGAGGAAGGGCATGACCATCAATATATTTAGTAAGGAAGGGTATGATCATGAATATGTATTTAATGAGGAAGGATATGATCATGAATATGTTTAGTGAGGATTATGAATATGTTTAGTGAGGAAGGGCATGATCATCAATATATTTAGTGAGGAAGGATATGATCATGAATATGTTAGTGAGGAAGGGTATGATCATGAATATGTTTAGTGAGTAAGGGTATGATCATGAATATATTTAGTGAGGAAGGATATAATCATGAATATATTTAGTGAGGAAAGGTATAATCATGAATATATTTAGTGAGGAAGGGTATAATCATGAATATGTTTAGTGAGGATTATGAATATGTTTAGTTAGGAAGGGCATGATCATCCATATATTTAGTGAGGAAGAATATGATCATGAATATATTTAGTGAGGAAGGGTATGATCATGAATATATTTTGTGAGGAAGGGTATAATCATGAATATGTTTAGTGAGGAAGGGTATAATCATGAATATGCTTAGTGAGGAAGGGTATAATCATGAATATATTTAGTGAGGAAGGGTATAATCATGAATATGTTTAGTGAGGAAGGGTATAATCATGAATATGATTGGTGAGGAAGTTTATGATCATGAATATGTTTAGTCAGGAAGTTTATGATCATGAATATGTTTAGTGAGGAAGGGTATAATCATGAATATATTTAGTGAGGAAGGGTATGATCATGAATATGTTTAGTGAGGATTATGAATATGTTTAGTAAGGAAGGGTATGATCATGAATATATTTAGTAAGGAAGGGTATGATCATGAATATATTTAGTGAGGAAGGGTATGATCATGAATATGTTTAGTGAGGAAGGGTATGATCATGAATATATTTAGTGAGGATTATGAATATGTTTAGTGAGGAAGGGTATAATCATGAATATGTTTAGTGAGGAAGGGTATGATCATGAATATGTTTAGTGAGGAAGGATATGATCATGAGTTGATGAAGAGGAATAGACTGAATGCAATCAATCAAGCAAGAAATTCAAAAACGTGGGGAATTATTCTAGGTGAGCTTTTTTTCTTAATTTTTTTTCCCAGGAAAATTTTTAAAAACTTTTTTTAGGTACTCTTGGACGACAAGGGAATCCTAATATTTTATATCATCTAAAGGTAAATCCTTTGTTATATAA